GTATCACGTTTGATATTACCAGGTCTCATTTCTTTCTTGTCTCATTAGCTCATTATCTCGTGTTATTGTTGTTTATATCTTTAAAGCCACAATCCAGTGCATTGAAGCTAGCCCGAACACTCACTTGAGATTTAGCGTCTCTTCGGCTATTTAACTTTGTTCCTCTGAGCTTAGCCATATTTTTAGTATTTTCATCACCTCTCTTCCAGTTCTTCTGGAATTTGGAAGTCTTACACTTCCAAAAAACCCAATACTCCCGGAGTATTGAGGTTTCAACAAGTCTGATAATAGACTACATCCTGAAAGAAGTGCATTGGGTGAACATTCATTTAAAAATGGGCATCGGATAAACTACAATAACATCAAAGTAGTAGAACAGGAAAGTAACATCACCAAAAGACTTTTTCTAGAAATGGCCTTCTTCTTCTTCAAGTTCCACTCCTATCGGAGATTGGAAATCATTCTGGCAATTATAATTTTATTGGTTACTCGCCTGAATAGTTCAATTGAACTGCATCCAAACCACTCACGGAGATTGCGTAGCCACGAGATTTTACGTCTTCCTACGCTTCTTCTACCTTTGATTTTACCCTGCATTATATTCCTTAGTAGTTCGTACTTTTCACCTCTCATGATGTGTCCCAAGAAATGGCCTACATTTGCCAAAATAATAATGCAATGAATCATAGAACAGATATTGGCCATCTAAATGAAATGTTCTCCTATTTGTTACTACTAGATAATTGCAACAATAGGACAAACAATAATTTATCAATTGACATTTAAGTAATTAAAAAGTTCATTTTTGAGGAATTTATTTTTTTTTTTTAGAAAGTTAGTTTGTTTAAATTTAATAATTTTTGTTTACACACAGATACTGGGGTCATACAAAACAAAATCACAATAAATTGTAACGTTTTTAGAATTACGACCTTATTTATTTATGTTAATTTAATAGGCTTTGTTTTAAAACATTGACAAGTTGAAATTTCACTTCCTAATGATATTAACAAATATAAAATAATTTATATTTCCACGATATACCTAATAATAACCCTTTAATTTGTTGTACTAGCAGTTGCTTGATATTAGGGATGTGAGATTTTCACTTGCCAATGTCAATATCAATGTCATAGATTTGTGTATAAATAATTAAGTTTGTGTGAATGTTAAGTAATTTTTTAAATTTTAAATATAAGAATAGGTTTTAGCTCAACAGACTGTGATAAATTTTATCAACAATTTTTATAAAATCATTTATGATACAACCTCATTAAGTTTGTAAGTATCGAATTTTTAATTAATTATACAAATTTGTAAAAATTATTCATCACATTTGTAGCTCCCTGATGAAGGACATAACCAATGTCCGAAAGCTTGGAATAAAAATTTAAAAGAGTACACCTTTCATTTTTATTGCTGTTTACTTTCTTACGTGGTCAGCAAATACTTCTGGTTCATTATATATATATATATATATATATATATATATATATATATATATATATATATATATATATATATATATATATATATATATATATATACAGGGTGGTGAATCGTCAAACGGACCATAGGAAACTCAAAGGGAAATTCTAAATTGTTGAATTCCTGCTTCCCTAATTATTTTACACCAAAAGCCATGGGAAACTATTTTTAGAGGACTCAAATATGTATCGAAAACAACTGTTAAAATTATTCTACGACTTAAACGTATTCCAAAATTTTGCTAAAATATAATACATTTTTCTGTGAAAATATGTGTATTACGTGTTGCGTTTTGTCATATTATTGTTTCTGATATTTGACAATATTTAAATCAATTATATTACATTTATCTATGATTTAAATGGCCAAAATTTTGTAATTTATTGTTAAAAAAAAATTAAGTTGATTAAAAAATGTATTCAGTTGAGAAGAAAAAAGCAGTAATAAAAATGTTTTATTCATGTTTTATTATAACATTTGTTATAGTTTTATGTTTAGAAATTATCATATATTATTATTAGGAATAAAGATCACAGTAACAGTATATTGGAATTCATTAAAGTGTTGTAAACTTAACATGGAATTAAATTTTAGTGAATTAGAATATACGTTAAATAAAGATCCGGTAGTGGCAGGGAAAGGTTCGCGCTATTGCCTGAATACAACATTATGCGATTTTTCGTCAACTGAGTACATTTCATTATATTGATCGATTTGTAAACAATATAATTTATTGTTCACAAAGTAATAATGTTCATTAGTAGTAGTATTTAGTAAAATTCATTGTTTATAATTTAATCATAAAATAAAAAAATTGACAATTCAAATTGTCAAACATCTGACATAAATATGATAAAACACAAACGTCCTAATATATATTCTTGCATTACGTGTGGCCTAACTTTTAGGGGTGGCCTGAAAATGTATTATATTTTTGCAAAATTTTTAAGCACATTTGAGTCGTAGAACGGTTTTAACATTTGTTTTTAATTCAGATTTTAGTCCTCTTCTTCTTCTTCAAGTGCCCTGTCCGTTGCGAACGTTGGCTATTAACATGGCAATTTTGATCTTGTTTGCGGCGCTTCTGAATAGTTCGACCGATGTGAGCCCGAACCACTTCCGCAGATTTTGGAGCCACGAGTGTCTTCTCCTGCCTGGCCCTCGCTTACTGTCTATTTTTCCCGGACAATCAATTGTAGCAGACGGTACTTATCGTGTCTCAATATGTGGCCTAGATATTCAAGCTTTCTTTGTTTAATTGTATTCACGATTTCTTTCTCCTTTCCGATTCTTTGGAGTACCTCTATGTTGGTGACATGTTCGGTCCAGGATATACGAAGAATGCGTCGGTACACCCACATTTCGAATGCTTCTAGTTTTCTCGTTAGCGTCTCCGTCAGCGTCCAGGCCTCCACGCCATACAGCAAGATCGGAAAAATGTAGCATTTAACTATACGTAGTTTTAGGGGAAGAGACAAATCCTTGCTTATGAGGAGCTTTTTCATATTGCTAAATGCTGCTCTAGCTCGTTCTATTCTCGCCTTAATTTCTATGGTCTGTTCCCATTTTGCATTTACGTTAGTGCCAAGGTACACATAAGATTCTACATGGTCAATTAATATGTTACTTATCCGTAATTGTCGAGCAGGTTGTTGCTTTTTGCTTATCAGCATCCACTTTGTCTTCTTGAAGTTGAGGCTCAGGCCGTATTCCTCACTAACTGAATAAAGTCTTTCCATTACTTGTTGTAATTCGTCTATGGTACTGGCAAGGATCACCGTGTCGTCGGCGTATCTTATATTGTTCGTTAACTCGCCGTTTATTTTAATGCCCTCATTTGCATTTTCCATACATTTGTTAAATATTTCCTCGGAATACATATTGAATAGGAGTGGGGATAATATACACCCCTGACGGACACCCCTTTTGATCTGCACGCTTTCAGTGAGTTCGTTGCCAATTTTTGCTCTTGCTGTTTGACCCCAGTATAGGTTTGCCACAATTCGAATGTCCTTGTCGTCAATACCTGTCTTTCGCAGAATACCTATCAATTGTTCATGATTGACATTGTCAAATGCTTTTCTAAAATCTACAAAGCACAAAGCACTTTAGTCCTCTACAAATAGTTTTATATGACTTTTGATCTAAAATAATTAGGGAAGCAGCAATTCAACAATTTAAAATTTCTCATTGAGTTTCCTATGGTCCGTTTGACGATTCACCACCCGGTATAGGTAGTATATTATTAAACCTAGAGCTAAGATTAATAATATTACAAAAATGAATATTAAATTCAAGCGGTTAATACAATTAAACTTAGAGCTAAGATTAATACTACTACAAAAATTACTATTAAACTCAACAGTCTTCCGGCTTGAACTGACTCGATTATCATTGCGCCGAGTTTTCGACATTATCTTTGATATCTTCTTTAGGGCTTCCGAGGCCTCAGTTTTCCGAGCCGATACTACACTTATCACTAACCAATGCATTACTGCTACTGGGAACAGAACAGAGGATGTTTCATTTATACCGTCGATGGTGACGTGATTTGGTTAGAGGTTGGCGCCGTAGAGGTTAGCGTGGGGATTGACGCGAACATTTCAGACAGTATAATTTTGATTAGAGGGTGAAGCGGACGATATTTTCTTTATGACAGGTATTTATGTTGAAGGTAACCGTATGCCGTCATCTCTTTTATTAAGGAAATTTGGCCTTTTTTCCAATTTCTATGGCTTCGCGGATAATTCTTGGTTTATAGAAGCGGATGGGGGCTATGGTTTCTGAGTTTTCAAAATCAATTTTGTGACCTGTATGAAGATGGTATTGGGCTAGAACTGCAATTGAATCGGAATCCCGAACAGAAATAGAATGTTCATCAATCCTATTTTGGATTCTGCGATTGATTTGTTTGGTCTATATAGGATCGGGTGCAGCCTGCACAAGGAATTTCATAAACTTCGTGTTGTTCATTTAAAATATTGTCTTTTATTGATCGTACACAAGATGAAAGTTTTTTAGGGGGATAAATATTGTCTGTGTTCTTCTTGATTTAAGAATTTTCTTGATTTTGTCAGTGACACCTTTGATGTAAGGAAGAAAAGTTTTAGTATGATGAGGCTGTCAGAGCTGGGTAGTATCCGGATACTTCTGTATCCGGATACAATATTCGGACACTTTTTATGTATCCGAAAGCTGTAGCCGGATACTTTTTAAATTTTGTATCCGGTATCCGTGATCAAATTTTAAAGTATCCGGCATGCGGATACTTTTTTTGATATTCGGATACTTTTAAATATTTATCGCCCGCCGATAATGCACCTAACGTAGGCACAACACTGTCATTCCTTCAATCTAGATGTGTCTAATATGTTAAATCCCATTTTTCGTACTCCAGCATATACCTACAGTTACCCAAACATATGCGATGTGTCACACATACTTTAAATTTAATAGCCACAACCGATTATACAAATCCTGTAACAAAAATTCCAGCGATACGAACAAGAGAAATGAATGCATTTAGTAAATGTGCTCAATTATGGCAAAAATCAAATAAACCAAAAAGCAATGAAATTATAATTAAACTTTTAGGGCATACTTTAAGTTCTCCAGGGGCCACTAGATGGAACTCCACTTTTGATGCCGTTTCGCAGATTCTTAAAGCAAAAGAAAAACTTCCAATTTTGCAACAAAATTTAACGTTAAAACTTTTTAAGGAAACTGAACTGTTATACCTAGAGGAATACTGTTTAGTTATGAAACCTTTGGCCTCAACGTTAGATTCGTTACAAGGTGAAGACAATGTATCTTTGGATATTTGTTACCCAGTTTAATTTCATTAATTAATAAATATCAGAAACTTCTTGTCCAAACGAAATTAAAATATGGAGGAGAACATCTAGCAAAAATGTGCATTAAAAGCTTAAATACTCATTTTGCAAACATTTTAAATTTTGAATGGGCAGATCCAATAGTTGCAGTTCTTCTTCCTAAATTTAAGCTTAAGTGGTACAATGTCCTAAAAAATCCCAAAAAACTATATACTTAAGATATAAAAAATGCATTATAACTGCTGCAAAAACAAAAATGAAATTGGAAAGTTGCAATAAATCAGATGAAAGTGGAGATCAAAATTTGGATGACTTTTTTGATTTCAGCAATTTTCGTGACCAGCAAGTAGACAACAGCTGTACTATTAATTATACACAGAATGAACAGGGTTCCAGTATCAATAATAAAACTTCAAAAGTACAGTTGGAGTTGCTAAGATATTTGAAGGACAAAAGGACCAATTTGAACATCTTAAATGAATACCCAATCTTAAAAAGGGTGTCAATACAGTACAACATATGCTTACCTTCGTCAGCACCAGTTGAAAGACTTTTCTCTTTTGCAACTATGATCGATACGCCTAAATGAAAAGCTTTAAGCGATGAACATTTTGAGGTATTGGTACTTACAAAGGCAAACTGAAAGACACTTCAATCTTGACTTCGTCAGCAATTGGAATTCTTTCTGTATTAGTACGTGTTTATTTTAATTTCATGTTTCCTTATAAGTTTATGTTCTAGTTTTATTATTCATAAGCAATAAACAATTTTTTGAGTACTTTCTGATCTCTTTCTCCATCATTTAATGTATTTTTATTATTATATATTACATTAAAAATACATGCACATCACATAGTTCTAATACTAATAATTTATGTCCTTCTTAAAAAAAGTATCCTTCAAAGTATCCGAAAAAAAATATCCGGATACTTGTATCCGAATACATTTTTAAATGAAAGTATTCATACTTTTTTAAAAAATATCCGGATACATGTTGAGTATCCGTATCCGGTATCCGGATACTTTTTATTCAGTATCCGACCAAACGCTGGAGGCTGTGAATCTTTGGGCTGAGATTGAGTGGGAGATTAATGTTTGTGGATGCTCCTATTGATGTGATTTTCGCGGTAACCGTTTAAGATGAGCGCTTGTTTTAAACTAAAGAGCTCAGCGGGACGTCTTACATCATCGCAAAAGCGTATTTATCTGGAGACAAGGGTATTAATGATTAATTAATTTGTGAAGGTGGATGATGAGAGTTGGCATCCACGCAACGATTGGTATGGGTGGGTTTTCGATAAACAGAGTGATGAAAAAGTGAGTCAGATACAACAGATGTACGAGTATACTGAGTTGTTTCAAAGTATCTTAATGCTTCATATATAGCTACAATTTCATCACTACAGATTGAAAAATTAAGATTTAGTCGACAAAGTTTTTGTATTGTTTAATGGGATGTAGAAAGCACGGATAAAGCTTATAAAAATTTAAATAATAATAATAATAACAGTAACAATTAAAATTTACTAAAATTACATAAATCGTGAATATCACAGAATAAAACATAATAAAAAATATAATACATTGAAAAATTTCACTCTATGTATTGCAATAACTAATGAGTGTGAGTACTAAACAGGACCTTAAAATATTAGAACTAATAGAAGAATTTACATGCTGCCTTTATTGTATCACAGGAATGGGTTACAAACATGATATAAGGAAACAAGGTATGCTCACTAGGTGGACTTGTTTTTGCACATTTCTGCGCCGACCAAAATCCACCATCTTTTCAATATGTCACATGCGTGTAGGGATGGTGACCTGATCCCGTACCAGTTACTTTGAAACATGTATTTTATTTATACTTGTGGAACTGATCCCTAACACCAATATATTATAATAAACGAGTACGGGTCATGGACGTATAAATAAAGATCTTTATTTATACGTCCATGCGTATAACTTTAACACATGTAAAGCAGAAACACATGTATCCAAGAAAGTGATGAAATTGAAGAAAGCTGGGTAAAAATTAAGTCTAATATCTTAGCCTCGACCAAGGAAGTTTTTGGTGAAAGAAATATTAATAAAAATAAATTGTACCCAAGACGAAGAACTCCATGGTTTTGTACAAAAGTAAAGGCAAAATGTAAAGATATGAAAAAAACTTACCTGAAATACATGTCAAAAAAATGATCACAGGGAACGCTTTTCGAAAAAATAAAACATGATTTTTACGGTCTGTAAAAGGAAATATGGCGCTTCATAAGAGGTCAAAGAATGGAGTTAAAGAAACTAATAGAACCAAAACACATAGAAAAGAATACGTGGATTGACTACCTAAAAAAGCAGAGGAGGAAAAAACGACGCTAAAACCAGAAACACTAGAAATTACCACAAATGAAGAACCAGATGATGCAATATTGATAGGCCAAGTTGAAGATAGATAGATAAAATACCTGGGAATTAGCTGCTATCTAGTTATGGAGACCTGGACAAACAAGTGAGAGATCAAATACAAAAAGCAAGTAGACTAGCAGGATGCAGTAATAACACTATATGGCGAAACAGACACATTAACACTGAGATGAAATCAAGAATTTATAAAACCAGTGTAAGACCAATAATTACATATGCCTCAGAAACAAGAACACAGCTACAACGCAAATGCTACATCACTACTGGAAACGGCAGAGATAAGAGTTCTAAGAAGAATTACAGGACATATGTCTGAGAGATCGAAAGAGAAGTAAAGACATCAGAAGAAAATATAACGTATAGTGTATAAATGAATGGAATCCAAATAGAAATCAACAGATAAGTCGCCGATTGGCAGAAGAAGTATCGGACGACCGAGTAAAAGATGGAGTGACAACCTTTCATAGAAGTATTAATCCGGCAATGAAAATGTAGAATTACTTATAAAGAGAATTAAGAAGAAGAATAAGAAACTTTTGCCACAGATATTCTCTTTTAGTGTCCAAGGGATTGTCTAGAACTTTCACATGACGCATTAAAAGGAGTCGATTGCATGGCACTCAAACAATTACGCAATGCTGCGTAAAAGGATTATAATTAAAAAAATGAATAGAAAGTTATTAAAGACGTATTTTATGTCTTTTTTAATGAAAAAACCTTTATTTTGACATATACGCATGCGTAGTTGTGCGTCCTTTATTACGGTCTCTTCTTCTTGTGCCCTGTTCGATTATCGTACGTTAGCTATCAAATTGGCCTAACTAATATTGTTGACTGCAGCTCGGAAAAGGGATGCAGATAATCTATTAAACCATTCTTGCAGGTTTTTAAACCATGGCGTTCGTCTTCTACCTGGCCCTCTTCTTCCATCTATCTTGCCTTGTATTATTAAATGAATATATATTATATCTCTCTGTCAGTCAGATTTTTGACTGTTCTGACTACTTCCTTAACTTTTGAACTCTATCTGCCCAGCTTATGCGCAGAATTCTCTAAGACACCCAGATTTCAAAGGCTTCAAGTTTTCTTAGGAGTGTCTCTATTAAAGTCAAATCTTCGACACCTTATCCTAAGGATATTGTTTCCACATAATATTTTATTCAACTTAAAAAATGCAGCTCTGGCTTTCTCTACACGTATTCTAATTTCTTTGCTCATATCTCAGTTCTCATCTAGATTAAAACTAAGATAATGATACTTTTGGTTCTCTCTTATTTAAGGTTCACTTATTTTGACGTAACCTGTCAAATTACGTGTAGAAAGACAAAATATGTCTAACTTCACTTTTATTTATATAGATATTTGATCAAATGTTTTTTGTTTTGTTTTATTTAATAAATATTTTTTTAGTATTACCACAGAATAATAAACAATCAGAATGTCCACTCTCAGATGCCGCCTTTGAAGTTTTTCAGCACGCGCGCCATGTTTTTGAAGGAAACACATAACACAGACAGATATGATTTGTGAGGTTATGTAATTGTTTATATTTATGTTTAATTATATTATATTTATGTTATTATATTTAACAATGTTAATATAATTGTATTCGCTGTGAGCCGATGAGTAGAGGGGATTTGACAGTTTTCACCAACGCTGTTAGTGGCAGTTTTGTGCATTTAACTTGTTAACATTCAAATAATGGCCAATATGGATTTTTCAAAAAGATTTTTCAAAAAGAAAAAGATATGATACATGTAAAAATACTGGGTATAACAGTGATTGTAAATTTTATTCATTTCAAAGGGAAAAATGAATTATTGCTATCAATAAGAAAAATAAGTAAATAACCTATAATACAAACATGATATTTCTATGGTGTAAAATAAAAAAGCTATTATATTCCGAAACATTGCGTACATGCCCTGCATCAACTAAATCTTTCCTCTTTTTTGGTGTAGCTGGTTGAAATGGGATATCATATGATATAGACTTAAAACCAGTATAATGTTTAATATCCATTTTGATAAAATTAATAAAAATTGGTATCTAAGCACTAAGTACTAAGCATACAAAAAATAACTGAGCAAAAACAGAATGAAAATGCAAAATAAAAACAAGAATTACAATGTTACAGAGGTAAAGGCATCGAGCAAAAAGACAAGAGAGGGAATCTAATCGTTATGAAAAGGAGACCAAAAAAGTGGCCTCTGATGGCGGACATATCCGGAAATGCGAATGCGCCAAATTTAAATTTTCCGACACTTATTAACAGTAGCTATAAAATAGTTTTCAGAATGTGTCTTAGACGAGAAACCGCAAATAAATATAAACGATAACAGTCTAAAATGTGACACAATTGTTAAAAAAACTTAATGTAAAATAAGCTTTCATGTGACAGTTGGGACAAACAATAACATAACCCTACTAAATTTGATTAATTAAACAAGGAAAGACTCTCTTCTTTTTGTCAATGGCCTCTTGCGTAAGTAGTCATCCAGTTGCAGTAACTTATGTCTTAAATATTATAATTAAAATGAATAAAATAAAAAGGCGTACCTAATTACTTTTACTATTAATTA